TTCATCCTATTTTTGTTTAGTAGGTGGTATTATAAGTAATTTATAGATTAGGATATTAATATTAGAAATTAGTGAGTAAGTATATTTCCATTTATTAGAAATCAATAATATAATAATATTCAGAGCTGTAACTTTTTGAAAATGTCAATTGGTTTCTTTTTTGACTTCTTTTCTATTTATTAGTAAACTGAGGTTTGATCTACAATTGTTAAAACAAAAATCCAGTCTAATCATAATTCTTTATCTATCTGTTTAATTATCTTTGAAGTTATTACATCTTCTATTGATAGTTTTTTTTATTGATTTAGATTTATATTTGGCTTCATGATACTTTAATCAGACTTTATATTGAATCTTTTAAGTTCTTGATTATTTAAAGTGTAAATAATATGAAAGGAGCTATATTTATTAGCAAAAACAAAAACATTTATAAAAAGTGCAGTCTATTTATTATCAAAACTTTTTATTTTTTTAGACATTTTAGTGATTTTAAATAACTTTTAGATGAGTTTGAGTTGTTTATATATGTTTTTTAATAATTTAGAATAAAGATGGATATTATAATTAAGAAGTTACAACTCAGTAAGTTGCAATTTGAGTTGCAATTTGGTTATAACTCCTTGTAAATTTATTTTAATATAAAAATTCATAAATAGTTGCAACTAGTTAAAAATTTTAAAAATAATTATGGAAACAAACCATCTTTAGTTTAGAATAAATATTTCTTTGATATATAATGATATATTTATATAGTATAGTTTTTTTAGCAGCTATAATAATATATTTTTGAAGATAGTTCTATACAAAATTCAACATTAATTTTGAGTTGAAGCTAATGAGATTTGTATGTTTAAGTAGAAAATTTTCTATATATTTATCAAGTTTGTTGCTGAATTTTATCTATTAGTTACAATTTATGTTATTATATTAAAAAACTAGTTTTTTAATAGCTGATGATAGGTCAATCTATAATAAAAGATAATAAGTGAAACTATACATATATAATATTATGATTGCTGTAATCTTAATCTATAAGAATAATCAAATAATGAAGGAAATTTGAGTTGTGATCTGATAAATGATAAATATGATCAATAATTAATAATGTAGGATTTTTTTTATAGGTATATAATTTGTTTTTCAGAACAGTCAATAATAGAAGCAGTGTTATATTAATTAAAGAAGATCTGCATTTAAATTTCTGAGAAGAATAATAAACATATCCAAATAGTTCACTTCTATAATGAGTTAAATAATTTTATAATAAAAGGTCTTTTTAAGTAAATTATTTGACGTTGGAATATAAATATTATAATACAGAGTTATTGTTTATTTTTAAATTGAAAATCAATTGGTTGGTATCTTCTATTTTTAAGATGTATTTATATTTATAAATATAATTAGCATAGAAGGTAATAAAAAATTATATTGATTTAGAATTTGAAGTTTTATGATTTTTGTTGTTTTTATTATTTATTTAAATATACATTAATTAAGAATATTTAGAAATTTTCTTTTGTAAAATTGAGATGATACAATATGATAGATTTAATTGACTAATTCTTATTACATTTGGTTAGATTTTAGTTAGCAAAATAGCGATAGATCCAAAAAAATTAATTATAATAAGCTAATGGCCTTTAAAAATTTAACCAAATAAAGTTCATTTAATATACTAGTTTAATATACTAGAATATGAATCAAAAAATCTCATTTTTTGTTGAAATGTCTACGGAATCCATTTTTATTTTTAATAGCAAGAAACATACTTTGATTTGTTTTTGCAAGTCAACATTTTACAAATGATGATCACTTTTTGCTTCGAAACGGACTAACCAAATCTGCCATTGTAAAAAAAATTTTTTGTGACATTGTTTACTGAGAAACAAATTTATTTATTTGGAAGAAGGCTTATCTTTGTAATACTTGCTATGGGAAAAAAAAGTTTTAAGTTTCATCTCCTTTTTATAATTACATAATTTATATGATTTATTGATTGTTTTATTAATTCACAACTAAATTTCTTCTTTTATAACTCGAGTCCAAAAAATATATATATATATTTTTAAAATAAAGAATCAATTAATCAACAAACAAATTTTGCGAACGACCAAGAGTAGACAAAAATAAATACCAGTGAACTAGCCTAGTGATAAAAGAATTCCGATAAATCAAATTTCACAAATTGAGTTTCATCAATGAACACAATTTAATTAAAAAAAGTAAATATTCATAATAATTTTTGATTAGTATTACATAATGTAAAACGCAATAAAAATTGTGCGACTACTTGAACGATACTAACCAAATCTGCCATTGTAAAAATTTTTTCGTGAAATCTACCCCTAGTGTACCCAGTGTACAAAGTAACAGATAACAGGATTCTGTAAGATGTAAAACGTTGGGATTGGTGTCCTTTAGATTATGCAGTGTTCGATAAGCATGATAATAACAAGCTCTCGGAATTCTATTCCGATTCAGCCACGGCATAAAACAAAGAAAAAAAATAATAACTATATTTGTATCCCCCCCCCCCCAAAAAATAATAATCTCTCAAATCTAGATCGTATTTCCCTCATAAAATGATTTTTCTATCGTGAGAAAACGAGAAATTATCAAGTCCAACATGTATTCGAAAGTCGAGACTATTTCTTGTCAATAATTTTGGCAGGAAATTATTTACAATATAACTAAACAATATGAATACCTGCATAATTATATTGTTTACAACATTTGTATGAAATTACACATTCGTGTGAAACTGTTCCTTGTGTATACCTAATTCATTGTGTATCCAACCTTATACTAATATAAATACCGACTGATATTCCTTATGTCCCCTTCAAAAAAAAAAAAAAAATTTCAAAATATCATTTCTCAACTTTAATAAGCAAAAAAATCTCTCTATTCACACCTCTTTGTCAAGTCTTACATGACCATAACTGCAGAATCAAAGTATATCTTTGACATTCTACTCGCACCTTTGTGAAAATCCAGAACCACACATGACGACCCAAAAGCGCGTTCATGTTATTTAGGAAAGATCTGAACGCGCTACTGGGTCAACTTTTGGTAAACTTTCAGGACTTGCTAGTCAAGTCTTTTTTTTATATTACCAAAAAATCTCTTTCTTTCAAAAAGCGTAACACCAAAAAAGGCTTTAATTACCAATTTTCCTAATAATAATTATTAGAAGCTTCAAAAATATTTCAATTTTTTTTTGAAGCCAACAAGTTAACAATGCACACAAACGTTGTCAGCGAATGACGCAGCAACTGCGATGCATTACTTTAATGTCGGAAATAATAAATATATTTCCCAGGTCTCTCTTAACATTTCATATATTCCTTTCCTTAAGTTTTATTTAGATTGGTAGAATTTTCTAGATTGTAATGATATATTTATTTACATTTGATTAATTTATATAGTTTCGCATGTTTTAAATTTTTGAAATTATAAATTCTTTAAATTAATATTTTGAAATTTTCAACTCCACCTTTTATATAGAATTTAATGTTTTTATTGAAATTAAATTAAAAAATTCTCAGAACCCCATTTTCCTAGCAAACCTTCCATATATTTTAATTATTGATATAAATTGTAAAAATAATGATATTTTATCATCGTAAAAGAATTTTTTTCTACATATTCGTTTTCAAATAAACTTAATTTGATCAAGACGCGTACTTCTTTCACTTTCAACAGATGATGCTGCTAAAACTGAATATAATTAAAAGGTTTCTTTTCTCTCATTCCAATTTATAATGAACCGATTAACCATTCAGAGACCGTGAACTGTGAATTCATCGCCGATTACCCCATGAAGTTACGGTATAATTATTCGGCCCCCTGATTATTCTATATCATAATTTAATTTAATTTTTTCTTTTACAATATTTATCCATCAATTTATATAATACACGCGGGCGCAATTGTTGTTTAATCAATTTATATAAAAAATGAGCAAGAAGCGAAATAAAAAAATAATCGAATCCTTTAGTAAATTTAATTTCGTTATCATTTATCGGTCTAAATGCATGTGATCATATCGTAAAGTCTTTAGACGCCAAGCACATTTAATTATATGTAGTAAATAGGATAAAATAATATTTTTAAAGTAGACATTATATAATTAATTAAATGTAATTTCACGATCATAATTTAAATAAACTCTCTCCGTGACAAATTACTCCGCGTAATCATTAACAATTAACAGTCAGTTAATCGATTAATAATTAGCCGTAGTAACTCCATTGAAATTGAATATACGGCGTTCATTACAGCGCAAAGGAATTAAGATTCCTACTTTTAAAAATGAGTAAATAAAAAACAAATTATATTTTCAATAACTCAAATTTTGTTAATGATAATATTGCTGTTATTAAGTTTTTGTTTTAATAGCAGATGGTGAATTGCGTTATCTTCTTGATCCTTGTCTATAAAAAAGTAATATTAAATAATATTATTTTCATTCTCTCAAAATGGACTTGTAATTTTTTTATTCAACATAATAATTTACAGTTATTTCAAAGTACGTGATTGAAAATTCACGTGTTATATGGTGTTACAAGACATGTAAGAACGTAGATGATGAATTACCTACCACTGAACAGTGAGAAAAAAAGACGCGTTCTTCCACTGCTAATTTTAATAAATTTTTAAATCAAGCTGGTATGGCATTATGTATTCCCAATGTAAGCTTGAAAAGGACCAACCGATCGGATTCAAATTCCTACAATAAGTCGTCCCAGTAAGAAATTGTGATGTCTAATCAGAACGAATAGAAAGAAACAATGATCTATGAATGACGAAGATTCCACTAGATATGAGTTTACGGAAGATTTGCAAGGAACACTTTGATGCAACTTGGTCTTAAGCAGGAAACGCAACAAGAATTTCAAGTTCGAAAAAATAAAATTGGCAATTCACCTAAATAAAGAAATTAAAAAAAACATTACAACAGAATCAAATAGAATCTCATCAAGAAGAACAACAAAGACATGAAGAAAACATCAGTTGTTACGGCAAAAGACGATGAAAAAAGCATTGAACAGGAACTAGAAAATGAACAATTAACGTTGGAACAACAAAATTTAATATTGCAGCTTCATCAAGATAAGGATAAAGAACCATATAAACAAGAAAAGCAAATAAGTCTTTACAAATACAACAAAACAACAATAACAACAGCAGTCATTATTGCAGCAATCACGATAAAAGAATTATTGTAACAACATTAGCATCTCATCAACATCGTCCTACATCATCACCAACCACTATTATTACCTATCGTTTTGACCTAGGCAAACATGATGACGTTTTGAAGGAATCGTTCGTTTATCCAAATTTAGGACATTATTGTCTCCAACAGGCAATATATTCCGCATAAAAGTTTGAACCATGATCCAAGTGGTAATATTCAAGGTGTGTTTAAAATTTTAAATCATTTTTAGCTGTAGTTTGATGGTTTACACAGTAATGTTCATTTTTAATCATTCATGGCCATTTAGTAGTCAGGAAATGAATGAATGTTATAAGGTGGATTTTTTGTTCATAGTCTTTTAGTTAAAAGGGTTGATGATACTATGTTCGAACCTTTAGGTGTTTTGATACGAAAAGACAAAGGCTTTTTCTGCACTAATGCCTGGTCCAAATGCCTAATAATTCATCACGTTTGGTTAATGATCTATTCCAAAGATCTTGGGTTGCTTCTAATTCGCCCAGTACAGCACAGTTTTTATGGATAATAATCAACAGCGATTTAATCCTTTTGGTGGAAAAGCTTCGGTGCATAATACACCATTTGATATATATCAGTTTGGTGGCGTTGTTAGTCGAAATCATATTTCTAGTGGGGGGTAATGGGGACAAACAGACGGTTTCATGTCTAACATGCTGCTTCCTTCAACGTTTCATTATCTCAAAGTTATCTTATAACAACAAAAGCGGACACTTTTATTAGGTAACAAGAAGTTATATGGATATATCTGCTCCTATTACAAATGCGCCCAATCCTCCGTTTGTTGACGCTTTAATGAGTTCTACAAGTTGGTCGACAACTTTTGCTGAACAACTACTCCCTTATCATTGGGAGTACCTAATATCGGATCTACTTCTTCGCGTGTTCCACAGTCAGATGAGATCAGATATTTCAGTATGAGAAAAAAAAGCAATATTGGATTACATCATCATATATTGAGATTTTCTGGTCGACATAATAAGACAATATGAAATCATGAATGGAAACAATGAAGATCCGTCCATTGACCGTAAAATTAATGATGTTCAAAAAAAGAGGATGAAAAGGTAATGAGCGAAAAAATAGTTGAAACACCTTCAAAGAACATTCATACAATAAAATGCCTCCGCATTTTATTCAAAAGGAAGAATCTTATAGTTTAAACCTCAATACGAACGCAAAAAAAACCAAGAAAACGAAAAATTGGCTTCCATTACTCAACAAACTTCCAATCAAACTATTGTCAAAACACCTCAACCAAAGAATAATGGTGAAATAACAGTCCTGTTACTCCTATGAGCAAAGAATGATGCTCAAAACTTCTTCACTACACGAAATTAAGAAATGGAAGTTCGTAAAGCCTCTGAACGTAAGCTGCTGCGTCAACGATTACTACTCATTCCACCGTATAATTTCAAAAGAAGAATCGCACCCTCAAATTCTTCTTGAGGAATCATTGGTCCAAATTCATCCAATACATCTAGTTCGTCTTTTCTTTCTGCTTTTCCAGTTATTAAAACACTAGCATGGCAGTTTAGCAATTCTGTTCCTTAAAAAAAACGCTTATTGAAATTCAGAAAGGAGAAGGAAGAAGCAATTAAAAGACTAACAGAACGGGAATTACAGCAACCAGCTTTACTTGGATCTAATTACAAATAATATGGGAAAATTCTAAGCAGATACAGTAGCCAAAGGAAATGGAACAAAGGTAAGCATCAAACTTTTATAAATTATGAATTATAATAAATTCTTTGACATACTTTTTATTATTATTAATAATTATGGAAGCACGGACCTATTTCTAAGAATACTGCTTGGACTACTGTTGCTAGCAAGCAAGTCAAGAAATAGTGCAATTACTGCAGGATCTCCTCAACATAATAACGCTACTATAAATGTGATATCAAGCCCAGCGGATAAGATTCGACCGTAGCTTGGGATATGTGGTATAAATGGTTTAAGATAATTTTATTATTTTCATAAAATTTTATCTTGTATTTAATTAAAATCATTGTCCTTGAGTAAGATCACAAAGTCAATTAAGAAAGCCATCAGAAAACTTAAAAAATAGTAATTAAGCAACCTCTGTCAACTTGAGTTTGTCAAAGACTTCAGGCAACGTCGATGTTAATTCCAATGAACACTTTACATCTCGTTCTCCTTCAGAAATGTTTACGTGGGTGAATGGTAAATTCTGTCAAATTTTTTTATCCATTCATACTTTATTTATTTATAAAAATTAATGTACAGAACATTCGATACTTTTCTTAAATAGGATTTTATTCAGATGTTGCTTAAATTCCCACTTGATCCTCCTCACGCCACTATTGAAATCATGCAAGATTTGATTTATGCTAATTCGTCAACTCTAGATGGTCAAAGATTTGCTGATGAATTTGTCAAGAGAAGTGCTTTAAATAGTTTATTATGCACAATATAATCTTGGTCGTTTATACGAAAAGTGGAAGGAACAATAAAGGAATAGGATTTGACGTGGGTAACTACCAAAAAATCTGGTCATCTTCTTGCGATCTTGGTCGATATACGAAAGTAGAGGAACAAACCGTGATATCGTGAAGCGGCGAACAAGGATATGGCGCTTCACAGATTAAAGTTAGTCTCCTTTTTGAAAAGGGGGAAGGAACGAAAAAAAAAATCCTCGAAAAGGCCTTCTACTGATATCAACTAGCAGCAGGGAACAAAAGTTGTTACATACGAAAATCAGGTTTTGATCTTATGATTTATATAGTTCCGCAACATGATATTTTTGATGAATTCTTTTTTTTTTCTTGCCAATATTGATTTTAAATCCAAATCACCCTCCTCAAAAATTTCTACCAAACCACAATAAATTGCCCATTCGGTTATAATAGAATTAGAAGGATTCTGAAATTCTGGAATTAGATTATAATTAGCTAAAATATGTCTATTTTGAAATGATTGAATAAATTGAGAATTAAAACATTGAATAATGTTGAATAATGGTAAAGCAGAATGAAAATTTATATGTTTTTCAAATTTTTTTAATGCTATATTAAAAGCTTCAGAAAAAATTGGAGTAAGGTAATCATAATTTTGATGATTATGAGATAAAAGTTGTGTCATTTCTACACTGAATGGTGGATTGTTTATTTCATTTTGTAAAAAAAACTCTTGTTTATTTAATTCTTGAAGCAACAAAAGGGCAACAGCCTGATTTCTTATTTTAAAAAATTCAAGATCCAATATTAATCTAAAAAAAAAAAAAAAATTTTAAATATTTTAATAATAAAATAAATTTAATATTTACCTTTATACATTAAATGAAATAAATTTGATTAAAATATCTACATAAAAACATTGACTTTGATTCTGAAAAATTTCTTTTAATTCTTTAATAGCATTAGCATTTGTTTTTGCAGATTTTTCAATAAAATATGTAATAAATTGTTGATAATATTTCTCCATTAAAGTTACAAATTTAAACCAAAAATTTCATCTAGTTTTAATAGGTAAAGGAGGTAAATTAGCAGATAAATCTTATATGTTTTCTTTATCAAATAAACTTTCATTTATATTTAAAAGAATAGATTTTGAAATTAAATGTTTTCTCTATCTTCTTTTTCTTGCTACTGAATATATAAATAAAGTTTTAATATGTTTTACTACAATATCTAATAATTTAAAATATTCAAAATCTATCCAAGTTTTACTAACAAGATTATAAATATAAGTAAAACATGTGTTATGAAATAAATATATTATTAATAAAAATAAAATACTGGTAAATACTTTTTTCATATATGATGCATTATTACCAATAAAAAATATTAAATTGGTAAAAGAAATATTATAGAAATAAATAGTATTAACAAAAGCTTATGCAATTGTTATATAGTTTACAGCTTCTAAAAAAATAGTACTTATTAATTTAGTTTTATTATGAAAACTAAATAATATATTAAGCACACTTCTTTCACAACTGTCTGTTGTTTCATCCATAGTAAGTTAGTTACATAGATCACAATTATTATATGTTATGTTAAATCTAGTTGATCATCAACAATAGTATTAAAAATAATTAATTTATAAAAAGTATATTATTTCTTCATGGCAAAATAACTTTAATCTTATGTAAAAATATTTTTTGAAAATGAAAAGGAGAAATACTATCATTTTTTTTTGATAAGATAATCTAAAATTAAAGGTATGTATTAATATCTTTTTGTCTTAAAAAAGTTATCTTTAAGTATTTGTGTTTTAATTATTATTTAAAAAAAAAAAATTAATAATTTAATCTTTAATTAATTAGATATACTTTCTTATCTATAATATAAGCTTAAGTAATCATACTTTATATATTATTGTATGGAAATGTTTCTAGTAAAATCAAGTCATAAGGGTATAATAAATCATATGATTCATAATGTGATTTTACTGAAAATGCTCCTATATATATTTGTATTTACTTTAATTTTATTATATAGGTTTTTAACAAAGTATTCATTAAAATTTATAAGGTATAGTTTTAATGTAACTGCTATTAAATGTTTATTATCTTTCAGTAAAAATAATCAGACAAAAATACTAATGGTACTTTATTATAATTTTTTCCTTTTTAATGTATTATATGAACCTCTGACTTTAAAAAATAAAAAAATAAAAATAAATATTTTAAATAATATAATTTATTTATTCTTATCAAAATGTTTTAATATATTATTTTGTCTATTTAAAAAACTTTTTAAATCTACTTAGTAGAAATATATCATTCAATTGGTTTTTTAATAAAGGTTAATATCATTGACATTGATGTTGATATTAGCATTAGTTTTGCTTTTTGCAATTCTTAAAAATTTTTTTTATTTATTATTTGAAACGTAGTAAAGAACAATTATTATCACAAAATTTATTGTATAATAGATAAAATTGCTTTTATTGTGAGAAAAAAATTTTTGTGAAATAATTAAGAATAACTTTATTAAAAATTAAGGAAAAGAAATTAAATGATTATATATATATATACACTAACCTACATTAAATTATTAGATTTATAATCACGTGATTTATCGCGTCTGTAATAAATTCGCGATTTCTTCCTAATGTACATAAAAATAATAAAAAAAATAATACATACATATTCTTTATCTTCTTCAAAATAGAAATGCGTGAAAACGAGCTGTCCGAAGCTCAACGTGAAAGAATTATCAGTGTATATCTGAGTGATACCAAGCAAACAGTTATTTCAACTCAGCTTGGTATTCCCACTAGCACTGTCAACAATACTATAAAAAGATACAAAGAAACAGGTTCTGCATTACCTGAGAAGCGTCCTGGTCGTCTTAAAATACTTAATCAACGTGATAAATAGACCCTACAACGTATCGTTTGAAATAATTAGTTTGCTCCTCTTAGTGATATAACAAGCAGATTAAACTCTAGTCTTGATACCACATTGCATAATAATAATATTAGAAAATACCTTCATGATGAAGGCCTTGGTAGTTATGTCGCTCATAAGAAACCCCTTTTAACCCAAAAACAGCAAAAGGATAGATTAAAATAGAGTAGAGAGAAACGAAACTGGGGTGATGAATGGAAAAAGATAATATAGTCTGATGAGTTCAAATTTGCTCTTTTTGAATCAGATGGAAGAATAAGAGCTTGGAGAAGTCCTGAAGAAGCTTATAATAAAAATTGTATCTTATCTACAGTTAAATTTGGTGGTGGTTCAGTGATGTTTTGGGGTTGTTTTGGTTGGCATGGAGTTGGACCTTTGGTTGTAGTAGAAGGAAGTATGGATTCTGACGCATATATCAATATTCTTGCTAACCACTTCATATCATGGGTTAGTAACTATCCTAACTCTATTTTTCAGCAAGACAGAGCTCCATGTCATACATCAAATTATAGCATTTGGTGGATGAAAACACATAATATTCCAATCTTAGATTGGGTGACACAAAGCCCTGATCTTAACCCGATCGAGAACCTATAGAATCATTTAGATCGGCAGGTTAAAAAAGAAAGCCTTTACCTAAATATAAACAGGAATTAATAAATATAGTTCAAGAGGAATGGAGAAAAATTAGCATAGAGATGGTACATCACTTAATTTTAAGCTTATCTAATCGTGTTAATGCGGTAATTAAGGCTAAAGGCGGACACACTAAATATTAGTCTATTAAAATATAAATTTTATTTTATAATAAATATAAAATTCGCGAATTATTTTGGCATAATTTTTATTGTTAGTTATTTATTACACAAAAATTATATTTAATTGATAACTAAAATTGTAATTTATATATAATTTTAATATATATAAAAAAATCTGGTAATTTAATGTAGTTTAGTGTATATATATAAACATAAACAAAATCTCAACAAAATTTCATAATAAAAAAAAGCTGATTATTAGAATTAATAAGGTTGATAATTTCACTTATTATTTTAAATATTACAGATTAAAGTCATAAATATCATAGCATCATCTGATTATTCAGATTACTTAAGACAAGTAATATTGTAATCCTAAACCTGACAGTATTTAAGAAATTGAGCTCATATCATAAAATAAACAGTCCTAACTTGAATGATCTAGGTTAATTTGATCGGCTTAGAATACTAGTTATACTGAATATGAATTGATAAAAAACATTCCTACTTTCTATTGCAAAGATTTTTTTTAGTGTATGATTTTGTAATGCAGCATATGCATTAGCAACACATATCTTAATAAAATCCCACACATAAATTTTGTAAAAATGTGTATAATTTTGCACAATAAATTTAGCATACATAATATTAAATAAATCAACAAGTTAGACTAAAGATGGTACAGCAATTGATTTCAAATTTACAAAATGTTGCAACAGAAGCTAAAATTAGTTGCAACATATGTTGCAACATTATAAGTTACAACATATATAGGTTAAAACTAATTGCAACGTAAGTTGCAACATTAAAAGTTGCAACATATTAATTACAGTTCCCATCTTTAAGTTAGACAAAATAATGAATAATATAATTGTTTTAGTTGTATAATTCAATAAATAAAATATTATATAATAAATTGTATAAAAGTTTTATACACATAATAAAAAATAATTCATATGAACATACAATAATAATTTTGCACATGATTTTATTTTATCATGCTACACATTTTGCACAAGTATATGAGTTTAAATCATACTCTGATCTCTCAACAAAAATTAGCTAAAATTAAAGTATAAAATTACATAAACTGATACTCTTAATATGCATTTAATTTATTTATGATAATTCTTAATATTTTTGACTGGAAATCGATTATTTTTGGAGAGAACAAGCATGATAATTATTTAGAATAAAATTAACATTGCTTGTATAATTTGTGTAATTGTGTGCAAATTTATTATAAATTTTATGCGTATACAACACTGATAGTAAACAAAATAATCGATGATCTTTTCTTTATTAAGAATTCGGTATCGATCAAAAATCACGTTACTTTTTAAGGAGACGATATTTTAACTGTATTGTTACATGACCTTTGTTTTGCTTAACCATATGACAAAAATAGGTTTCATTCTTTATAAAATCATTTGAAATTAGATGTATTATTTCGTTCATTTTAATAATACGTTGAATATTATTTCTTTTTATCGTCTTTGTCTTCATGTGTTTGTGTTACAGTACCGATTTAAGAAACGGTTTCACAATGAAGATCCATCAAAGATCGAAAACTTTTAAACTTTTTTTGAATTGAATCATCCCTTTCTGTTTGTTCTTAAAGTTATGATAATTACCAATTTAGGAGCACAGGTAGAATGTTTGTTGAATTAGATACCATGTATAGTAAATCACGAGAATAATAATACTAATGGCGCGTCGCGTTAAATATCAGAAATCAAAATGTACCACTATCGGAAAAACACTAAAGCACAAAAGCCCACTTGTCTATTTTAATAATAATAAAGAATTTTATAATAAATAAGTTTCACTGACCAATTATCGTATATAAACCTAAGCAAATTTCAAAGCTCCGTATTGTAAGCCTTATAATTTCAAATTCCGCAGTAAAAGCTTGAACTTTACTTTATAAACGTATTAAAAAAAAAACCTCAAATTATCTCCTCGAAATTTATAATCTATTTCAGTTAAATATATAATGAATAATCAAGTTGAAATGATCTCCTTTGAAATGATTAAACAAAGGGCAGAATATTGTGATTGTAAAATCTCTCAATATATCCTTGGTGGCTTATATGAAAAAGGAGAAGGAACGGAGGTGAATTATGAAAAGGCCTTTTATTGGTATGAAATTTCAGCTAATAACGATTACGAATATGCGTTCATCATCACTGGATACCTTTGTGAACATGGTATAGGAACGAAGGTAAATTTAGGAAAAGCGTTTTATTGGTATGTACGATCTGCACAAGTCGGATCTTCAATTGGTCAAGATAATGTCGGTCGTTTTTATGAGAACGGCCAAGGAGTTGAAAAGGATTTATACAAGGCATTTTATTGGTATCTACTAGCAGCAATGAACAATTATCATTATGCACAATATAACCTTGGTCGATTATACGAAAAAGGAGAGGGAACAATAAAAGATTTGACGAAGGCTAAGACTTGGTATCTAGCAACAGAAAAATCCGGCCATCTTCTTGCACAACATAAAGTTGCTCAATTTTTCGAAAATATAAGTTTAAAACTATCTGAAAAAAATCTCGAAAATGCCTTTTATTGGTATCAACTAGCTGTAGGAAACAAAAATCCATTTGCAATATATAAATTAGGTGAATATTATGAATTCGGGTATGTGATTGAAAAAGATGAAGTTAAAGCATTTGAATATTATAAAGAATCCGCCAATCTTGGGTATATAAACGCAAAGTTAATGCTTGGGTATTGTTATGTAAATGGAATTGGAACGGAAATCAATAAAGAAAAAGGATTAGAATTGTATGATGTGATGATAGATGACTTAGATGAAGTCAATTACTGGTTTGCTAGGGCTGCAGGCGATGACAATAAAGAAGCATTATATAAATTAGGTGAATTTTATGAAATGGGATATGATGAAGTTTCTCGAAGTGTCGTGAGAGCGTTAGAATTTTACAAGAAATCTGCTAATCAAGGGTTTATAAACGCTCAAATTAAAGTTGAATATTATTATGATCATGGAATTTTCGTTGATGTCGATAAAGCAAGGCAATAATAGGAAGGAAATAATGAGACGCAAAAAAACTTTGTTAACGAAGTAAAAGAACAAATGTACTATAATTTTTTTTTCCTAATTTTCTTCACATGTATATATTATATATTTTTTTTAAAAAAAATAAATAAATTAACGGATTTGAAAAATTCTATCGATTTTACCATGTCAAAAAAAAATCGTTTCTATGGCTCGATTCATTCGCTAGTCATGTGCGTTTCATTTATGATCACGTGATCTTCCAAACTTTCCAATTTTTTGACGTATTCGTTTGAATATTCACAATAGTATAATTTCACATAGTTTATAAAAAAAAAATTCTTATGTGACAACCAACCATTTTATCAACGTAACTTTTTCAGATTTGGTCAACGTAAAGTAATAAAATAAAATCTATTAATAACAAACTGTGATGAGCGTTGGTTTGAATAAGCTATTGATAAAAAGAAGATTGAATATTACGAATACTAACATTGCAAAAGGTTCATTGAAATCATTTTTAATCTTGACAATGTCGCCGTTAAAATAACTTTGTTCGTGAGAAATTCCAACGCATAGATAGTATTTCGTTCTAATTTTGACTTTCAAATCAAATCAATTAATTATGCATGTTTTTTAATCTATTAATTATAATTTTAGCTTGTACTCATCGAGAAGTGGATTTTCATACCAACATCTTTCGCACACATAAGATGATTCGATAAATTATCGAGAGTTTTAAAAAAAAATAATAAAGATCAACACGATCACTTCAAAAACATGTTCGTAATGGAATACGCTGATGGTGTAACACTTCAAGAATTTATAAAGAAAAAATTTGACAATCTCACCTGGGAAGATAAATACGACTTGGCAGTTGGTCTGTGACTTCTCATGTTTGCATGATGAAGGAATCGTGCATCGTTGATTTGGTAAGATGTTTATCAGCCATGTCATTTTAAAAAGACACGTACAGTATCAATCTTGAAATTATAAAAATATATTGATTCATCAACTTCGTATTAAACTGGCTGATTTTGGTTAATCGAAGACGCATCATCTAATCAAGCTTACAGGGAAAACTGTCCACGGTACACCTGTTGATTACGTTAAAGTAATATGTTATAATATTTGCGACGTACTAAATTTAATTATCAAAATTTATTTTTAATCCGTTTCCGTCCAATTATCAATGCATAAGAATAATATCTGAAGTTCATCCAATTAAAAATTGAGCTGATGATTATTTAAGACCAAGCGTCATGATGAACCAAATTTTTTTTTTTTTGAAAATTTCTCGAGTCCAAGTTATTCAAAATTTTATATTTGGTCTTTTTAATATTAATAAAAATTTTAAAACTGAATTATATGAAATTATTAAAGACGAATTTCGTCCATCGAAGACGAATTTCAATTAGAATGATAATGATTCACTAGTTCATTTACTTAGAATTATAATAAAAAAATAAAAGTAGTTAATTAACGAAATTTTTTTACTCTAAACTTTTTATTTTAGAATCCAAAGTAATTTACAAAGAGAAAAATATATGACATACAATTCGCCCAGCATTTAATTGATCCCCTTTGTCCAGATCAAATTATTCCTCCCTACTTTTAAGTTGCGAAAATTTTTAGGTGCAAATTCTTTAACAATCGCTAATAATTCAAGCTCTTCTAAAATGACATCATCATTCAAAATATGAATTCTTTCTAATAATTCACAACTCTTTAAAATTACTTTTAAAGATTCTACCTTTCCGTCTAGAAATGAAGTTCGTAACGAGATCAGATTTGGACAAAATTTGACTATAATTAAATTGAATGAATCATTCATATCTTCACAAATCCAAAGCTCTTTTAAATTTTTTCCATTAATTTCCAAGAATTTTGTTAGGTACTCTTCATATGGACATTCACATTCAAATTTTAAAATTTTCAATTGAGGAAAGGTGATATGTTGTAAAATATTAAAATTGTTGTAACCACCTATTTCGTTAATTGATGTTATTGAAAGTTCTTGTAAATTCGAAAGTTTAGAAATAAGTGAATATGGTATGTGATGACGTTCTCCAACAATGCGTAGCCTGATTAATGTATCAGGAAATTTGGTAAAAGGTTGATCTCTAATATAAAGGTTATGATATTCTATGTCCAAGCACTTTAAATGTTTTTGAGCAGAAAATAAATCTACTAATCCATTTGAGATGCAATCTTCAATAATTATCTTTAGTGATTGTAAGTTTTGACAAATTTGAGATAATCGATAAAAAAATTCAGAATACAGATTTGAACCACACCTCAATTCAGTAAGTTTACTTAAACAATCATCTACTCCAGGATATTCGAAAAGTGGTATCATATGCAAGTATCTTGGACTAGGATAAAAATTTAAACTTTTCAAAGAGGTTTGATTAAATAACATTAAAAATATTTCCCGAGCTATCACCAGAATTATTTCATATTCTTCAATTGGTGATGTAAAATTAGGTTGATTTTTTAGAAAATTTTTAACAAAAAGATCAAATTTACGAAAACAAAGACTCTTGATAAATGCTACATAATGAAATGATGGAGGACTTAAGATTGAGGTTGAAATTATGATTCTTTTGTCAGATAAAATCTTTTTGGATTTATCAGAAAGGCAAGCGAGTAAAGTATTAAAACTTTGCATTCTTCTCCATAAAATTCGAACGCTAACTTCACTCCAACGTCGGTTTACTAATAAACATGAAAATAAACCATCCACATCATCATTCAAGTATTCAAAAATTTCATTTAAACAATCAAAGGGGAGTTCACGAGGCATTTTTTTTTTAAGAAAGAAAGAGGGAGAAAAATAAAAAGGAAAAAATACGTTTGGGAGAAAAGAAAGGGAATGGTATAGTAAAAGGCAATTCAATGTTATTTAAGGAAATTCTGTAATGTAGATCGTAAGAATTTTGGGTAAGTAATACGGAACGCCTGGGGTTCGTCAATTTCAAACCAGAATACACAAATTATCTTTAAATTTAAATATCAAGAAGTGAATTTCGTACTTTTTAGTTCAATTCCAAAAAAAATAAAATAATAATACATCTAATCATTAAAACCTCAATTAATTTTAATTCAAGCAAATAAACGTATCGAGATAATACATCAACGAAGTAAATTTACAATTGTTGGAAATACTTTTCAAATTCTTTGAGATGCGTGATTTGGTGAAGGGTGCATTACTGCGCCTACAATACAAATGACGAGTATTAAATTAAAACTTTCTCAAAATCACAAAAAAAAACCTCCGATATACTTCTATGAAGCGTAACTTATAATTAGCCTTTCTGATTTTAGCAAAGCGGGTAAAATGATACAAAAAGTGAAAGTTACTTTCCTTTTATACCCATCATCCATATAAATATTATTGCATCACGAAAATCTGATCAACTGATAACCCTAAAGGCTTATTTCACATATGAGCAAAAGAAATATTACGCAATCCTCAGAAAGTCAAGATTGAATAGCAAATATGTATCAAATTAATAACTTTTTTGACATTCGGAAAAAATAAGTTTCATGACGCCTTAACGAATGACCAATTTAAGTCCGAAAACTAAAAAAGATTTGACCTTGATAATGTGGATAATATTAATTTTCATAATTGGCCGATAAAAATAATGATCTTGGAGTTTCAAAAATCACAAAATCATCAAAATGAAGTAAAACATGCACAAGGCGAAAAAGGGGATAGGGTCTCACCTTTTTATATGATTTGTAGTAACACTACCATCGGTATCACCACTACTACATTTATTATTTGATATTCTTTTGATTTCTAGCTACCGATGGATCTGCCTATATTCATTAATGAGATCTTATTGGTTTGTTGCCTATTAGTCTGAAATGTGTATACGAGGAACGATCTCTCGAAATTTTGAAAGTCAATATTCTAAGACTCCCTGGAAAAAAAAAGGTGAAAAAAAGATTATTTCGCAAATTTATTAATATTTAACACATGAGATTACGCTAAAGGAATACCGTAGCAGCAATTGTCAGATTCGGGAATTATACGAATAAATATGATTTTTTATAGTCAACATCGCAGTTGATGGCGGTTTAAGACTTTTTATTTCATTATTAAAGTTTTCACGCTGTTAAATATGGTCGATTAATGTCATTATCACCAGCTGAAGCTTGATAAAATATTTTGATTGCTTTTTTAAAAGGCTGGCTTCATCAGTTACATAAAGAGCCCTACTGGCCGACATATACGCCATCTCTTCAAGCCTTTAAGATGTTTTAATGTTTCTTCTTTGCACTCTCTTAATGTTCCTATTATATACGTTGAAATCACGTCAATGGTCGCACATCCCGTGCAAAAAAGTTTCTTACTTGATTGGAAATTCATTTAGAATTTCTATCAATTCATCGAATTCATCGGTAAATTAGCAACCCAATTTTATTCAATAATTTGGAATATAATAGGCCTTGACTTTCTTGAACAGCTTCATAAAGTTGAATTCATTGCTAACATAAATTGTCAATCAAAATTTCCATTAAATCCTACTGTACGCATCTGCTTCACATGCAAGACACCACGCGCAATATCTGATGTTGCCTGAAATATTGGGAATTGCGTCTTTTAATATATGCTTTTACTAAGACATTTACAAATTTTTCGTTATCTTCAACGTTTGTTTCCTGGATAAGAAAATTAACGAAAAACAAAAATTTGTTATAATATACTTTTGCGCAAGTACACCAATTGTAAGACATACAGCATTTTTTATAAAAGGCAACTTATCACTACTTGGATCAGTTGGCAAACTTGATTTGATATCTATAATACTTGGACTTTGTTCAGCGTCACGCAATTTTTTTTTTGATATTGGTGGCATCGCTCTACAATTTCGATCTCTGATACACTTGGTTATGATAAGGGATAAATAATCATGTAAATTTATGTCGGAACCGGTAAGATATCTCAAATCCGGCTAAATTAAAATCTTTCTTGACAAAATGAAATTATACCTAGTTTTAGAAAAATATCCTGGAAATCATATCTCTATTTTCTTGATCATATTTATCCATTTTTTGGAACTGTATTTTTAATCCGGAGCGTAGCGAAAGACTCTTATGGTCTATTGAGTCGATACGTGATTGGTTACTTTCGTTACACTTGCTCCACCGCTAATTATTCACATTTTTAGACAAAAGTCATAGTACGTGAACATGACATTCATATGTCGATATCTCTTTTCCTTCATATTAATGATTATTTGTATATGCAAAGTTTCAATGAAAAGAGACGATAATTATTATAGAAAAATATATAGTCTGCCGCAATAGCGATTCAAGTGGTTCGCCTAATTATTAAAATATTCAAAACATATGAATTAATTTTTCAAGATGCATTATTATCTGAGACTGTAAATTAATTAATTTCTTTTACGATCAGATGATGCGCTTAGTTAAAAAAAAAATCTTTTATTAATGACATATAAATGTCGTGAATAGATTGTCACGGAGTCCCTAGATCTCTAAAAAAAAAATAACAATTATAAAAGTTAATATATTTATTTAAAAAGAACAAAATCGAATGTTTTTTAATCACCTTAAATGTTTCCAAATGAATACGTTATTATCAATATCTTTTGATAATATTCATTTCCAAAACGAGACGCAAATAAGAAAGAAGCGGGTGAGTAATTTATTCTAAAAGAATTTATGAATACTGGTCAAATAACTTTTATATATGGGTGTACTGTACTGTACGCTTTTACGTCGTCTACTTTATTTACTTTCACGCTATTAAGTTTTCTTTTTTACGCCTTTAAATCTATGATTTACGAGATTTATTTATACTCTTCATTTATATTTATGTACCATGATTTTGCTTATACTTTCCAAATTTTTCTGATAAAAACGTAAATCATAAATTGTTACTTATCGGAAGGTCGAAGTTCATTCGTTGACTAGAGATTGGAACCGGTCTAAAAATCTTTAACCGTTTAAAAATAATGGGTTATGGTGATTCTAGAAGAAAAATTTTATCTTACGAGTCCCTTGTTCTAAAATCTCGTAAGCAATTTTAAACAATGTCCCAAAATTCTTAAAAATTACAACTGATTCTTTTTTTTTATTATTTAGCTATGCAGAATGGAACAACTTGAAGATTTAGCGATTCTATATAATAAAGTTCAAGATAAAGTCTAACTGGTCCTGTATAAATTTCTTCGCTTCGGATAGTGTGTATACACCACATATAAAATACGGGTAATGTATTTTAAATTGATTAACTTTTAGACTTATTTCTATTTTATTTTTTGTTGATAGAATTAGGTTTCCGGAATTCATGAAATAAAAAACAAGGAATTAATTTTTAACTTTTGTTTATTATATTATAGATCAATATACCTTTTAATCCAAAATCATGCTTCTTCAACTTAATAAGCAAAAGAACCCGTTTTAACAATCAATTATTGTCCAATTCAAGCAATTGGAATGATAAAGTTGCCAACACTGATTATCATATGCTGTTTAAAAGTTAGAACCAACATAAACTCTCTTAACCGGTCAAAGGAAATTATTTTATCAGTTAACAAGGCTATCTAAACTGTTTCCAACCTCTATTCTATTTACAAAGTGAGGTAAAGGAAAAATCATTTAATTATGAAATAATTTGTTTTATATTGTAAATATGATTTGTTATATATTAAAGCTCTGTGACCTGTGAAAAAAAATATATTAAAGTCCATGTTAATTATTGCAATTAGGGATGGTAACGGTCGGTCATGGTCGGTTAACGGTCGGTCAACGGTCGGTCAGAGGCTTTTGACCGACCGACCGGTTATATTGACCGGTTGACCGGCCCAAATAACAATAATATAATTTAAAGTTCTTGATTCTTGATCGATAATTTTAATTTAAGCTTTAAATAATACT